ACTCCAACAATCAAATAAGAACAGTTAAAACAGTTCAAGAAAAAAAAAAAATTTGGCTCTCCAGCAACCTCGGTAGCTTTAATGATCTGGTAAAAGACCAAACAAATAGACATAATTATCATAAAAAAGCTATTACATAGCTCATCTCATTTCAATTGTTTATGGGAGAAAAATTAAAGTACTTAAACCCATCAGAGGTTTCCTTTGCTTTCAGAGTCTGTCCTTTCCCACTGAGCTCAGTGAAGCCATTAAGGCTCTTACCCTGGGAAGGCCTTGGATAATGAAATCCAGACTGTCCTTTACTTGAGGAAAATGTGTCAGTTCACTGATCTGCTGCCTCTGTTCCAGTCCCAGCTGACAGCACTGGAGTGGCTGAGTCGTGGGGGCTCATCTGTCCATTCCCAGATATTCCTCAGTGTCACACCCAAGTCTCCTAAAGTCTGTGGGAATAAGGTAGTTTGGACTTTAGGTGGGAATAACGAAGTCTCAGTTCCGTATTTTCAATGTAAAAAAATAATCCTGGCTGATAAAAAATAAATAAACTCTGAATTAATTTCTTTTGGCTCTACTTGTTGGAGTAACACTTTGCTTTGCAACCTGTGCTGCACCTTGGAGGTGTAATTAAGGCTTTTCCCCCAATTTTGTCCTGTAAGTATTTCTGTACTACCCATAAACAGCAAAATACCTCTTAAAATATCTATTTGTACTCTAATACATACAAGAATTAACCAATTTCCCTTTTCCCAGTACTTACATGTTAAGTATGTGCTCATAGGGCAGAGATAATTTAAAATGAGTAAATATTTACTTGTGTTTGGGTTTTTTTTTTTTAGGTTTTGGCAAATGTTTTAAAATTTGTTTCTCTTGTTTGTATTTTGAATGGGTTTTGTTGTTGAGGTTTTTTGCCTTTTTTTTTTTTTTTTTTTTTTTAATATAAACGTTTGGGAAGCCTCTAAAGCAAAGAATTTTGTACTCAATCTTGATTCCTGCTGCCTGTTTGCTGCCACAGAGACTCTCTCACAGCTTTAAGGACAGCTTTCTTTCTGCCAGAGTGATTGATTTGCCCTATAAATCAGTTCCCACATAAAATTCACAAGGAACAAGTGATGGGTCATGTAGCAATGAACTGATGGTGAGAATTTGCTTCCTTGCTTGTGTTTCTCCCTCTCTAATTCTAGTTTTAACCATTTTCATGCCTCCCTTTAAAGACTTCATTTTAATCTCTGAGTGTGTTTGAATTTGGACTGAATGAGCCTAATGAAGTAATATTTCCTGCTACTAAATTTAGGAGGAAAAAAATCACTAACTGCTACCTTGAATCCATGAATTAAAGAGGACTCAAGGAAAACGTGAATTTCTGCTGTAAGTAAGGATATATGGCATGTAAATTGATTTAATGTATGGTAAAAGGTAAAATAAATATATTTTTCACTTTCTAATGGAAATAGATGGGCTCAGTAACCAGGAATCAAAGACACCTGCCCAAACCTGCTTGTTCAAAGACATTTTAGAACACTAGAGCTGTGAGGGACCTGCAACCTCCTCTACACAGGTTTTGTAGGAAACACAGAATTTTTGAGAGCCAGAAACCTTAGTTTTGAAAGTGATAGCAACTAATGGGTGTAAAACACAGAGAAATTGTTTCACAGAATGGAATGGGTTTTGATGTTCTGGTGAAAACACAGCCTTGGTGGGGTTAAATATTCCTTTTTCTCAATGAGTATTTGGCATAAATGGCTTTGAAATTTGGCATAATTTGGTAGGCTCAGGTGTGGGTACCTAAAATGCTTTAAACCAGGGACTGGGCTGTTGTGCCATGCAAGAGAGATGCATTGCTAGATTTCCACCTTGCAGTACTGATGATGATGATGATGATGATTCGAGGATGGTGGGTTTTGAGGGTCTCTCTTCTCTTTCTCTGTCCTGTCCCTTTGTATCTTTGTAATTCTTTCCCAATTAACTCTAAGAAGTGCAGCAGAATGAGGAGATAATCTGGGGGAGGAGGCAGCTCTGAGGAGGAAGGAGGTGCTGGATTATTATTAGCAAAAGACCTGCAGAGAGAACTCCTGTTCGAGGACAGTCGGTGACATTCTGAACAGACCTTGCATGACAAATCACTTGAAGGCTGAGAAAAAGATTAAAAAAAAAAAGAATCCAAAAAAATCTTTTTACATCCTGCAAGGATGTCACCAACTGTCAGGGACACGCAAGTGGATTTTCCTTTTTTATATATATATTTTTTTTTTAGTCTTGCCAAAAGAGCGTTTGGGAGCAGAGTTTGGTTTGCACCAGGCTCTGCACAAATGGATGATCTCTCCATGGAAGGATCTGCAGCATAAATAGACAAGAGGATGTCTGATGGTTCCCAAACCACAAGTGGCAGAAGACGTCGCTGCCGCGGTTTGAGGGATCGCGGGTTGTCGGATTGGGGGTGAAGCGAGCAGGGTTTTAACTGGAGAGAAGCAAAAAGGTGGCAAAGGGCACAGGGAGGGTGACAGGGTGAGAGAAGAGGAGGGGAAAAAGGCGTTGGGTAAGGCGAGGATGTGCTTTCTCACTCGTGGTAGGATGGATTTAGAACAAGCATGAGGAGAAATAGGGAGCTGGGAGAGATTTCCATGGAGTCTGCTACCATCAGAGTGATGGCAAGCTGGGCTGGCAGCAGCAGCCAGAGCTGCCTGCAAGAAGAGGAGGAGAGAGATTTGACTGAAACTTAGTGGAAGCAGAAGAGAAAGGAACAGTAATGTTGGAAAATTAGCATTTTGCTTTCTTTGATCTTCGTGACTCTCCCCACAGCAACACATTTTATCGTTACATCCCTGTCTCCCCTGCAGATTTCACTGCCTTGACAAACACAATAGAGGATATTTTTTTTTCCCCCCTTATTTATTTGTTCTAAAGAGTTTCAGCTGTAAGGCCAGCTGTTTGACTTTGAGTTCAAACTTTAGGTGACTGTCATTGTTTTGGCTCTCATGGTGGGAAGATGAAAGGAGCTGAGAGGACAAAGTGCTGCAGACTGAGATGGGAAGAGTCTCCCATGGAATTTTTCCAGAGTCTCCAAATTGACTCTGAGGCTTATGGCTTTATTGCTTGATTCAGTGTAGGAAGGAGATATTAACAAGTTTTCTGCAGTGATTCACTAAAATAATACCATGTATTGTATTATATAGGATACACTTGGGCACATATCCTGTAAATGCACGGAACAGGCATTATTGATGAGGGAAACAATGGAAAAGGTTAAATGAAGAACCAGGAACAGAAAATGAATTTGAATCAGGTTTGGTTCTAGGAGGAGCTGAATGGCATGGCCATGAAGTACAAGGTCACTGAAGATCCAAACTAATCTAAAAATTAATTTTTTTCTCTCCTTCTTTAAATTAAGAAACCAAAACACCTGATTTTGCTAAAAAATACTTTATCTTGTGGTCTGAAATAATTTGCTCTGTTAGTCCTCAAGGTTACTCACAATGCAAGATAATGTATTTGGGCTCAAGGTGGAATTCAGTTGTGCACTTGTTCTTTCTGAGATGAGAATTTTGTGTTAGCTGAGATTTATGTGCTTTTGGATTTATCTTTGAGTTTGTTTTTAACTTGTGCCAGATATATCTAAAGAGCCAGGTCAGCAAACTTCTGATTGCCTCACTAAACCAAAGAATTGGGTTATAAGAAGCATCATCCTTTGAATATCAATGAACAAATAGGAAATAAATTTAAAAAAAAGGAAAAAAAGAAAAAATGAACTTGAGGAGTTTGAACTGATGTAAACATGAAATCAAAACAAAATCAAGAAGTCCCAAACAATGTGAACTGTGCTCCTGGATTGTAGGCAAACCTCCTGGAAGCCAAAAGTCCCTTAACTCAGTCATAGGTGAGTTATGTTGATGTGCTTAGCTGAGCATCTGGCTGATAACTTTTCTTATCAGGGAATGCATCATTTTCTTGAAGTTAGGGAGTTTTGCAATCATTTGTTAGGGATTGGTGTTCCATCTTTTCGTGCCAGAGATGTTCAGAGTTTGCATAATATCTGACAGCAACTTTCTTATCTTCAAGATGTGGAGAAATGAGGGTTAGTGATTATGGAAGATAAATATAGGCAGTAATGATTAGTGAAAGGGATTGATAAATGGGGTGGGGAATGGGAATAAACCCAAGACACAAAAAGGCAGAAACAAATGCTTAAATTTAGAGTTCTGTCCTCAAAAAGTCCCTGCCTGTCAAATATGGCGCAATAAATGATGAAAACCTTGGCATTTGATATTTCCCAGCGACAGCCATGACATTCCTGAGATGTATGTTGAGAAGTCTTTGCCCAAAGGAGGTTTGTGCAGCATCTGCAGCCTCTCCAGGAAACAGGCAGGGAACTTAAAGATGTTTTGGAGACCAGAACACACCAACAGTTTGGGTTGGGCTCTGGGACAGGGTGAAATCTCGCCTGTTTTGTGACACAGGCGGTTTCAGTGCCAGTGGTGTCACTTGGGTACAGGCAGACAAAATAGTTCTAGGTGGTTGAACATTTATTTCAGGCCATTAACAGCTTAAAGTCAACAATTTACGTGGGGAACTCAAAAATTGGATCTTCCCCTCTTGACATCAGTGACAGAAATCCCGTGGTTTTCCATGGTGTTGCATTTCATCCACATGCTCCTGGTGCCTTTTCCTGCTGTGCTCGAGCTGAGTTTTCAGAAAACACATAAATATTTTGTTTTTCTCCTTAGAGCTTTTCTTTTCATAATTATTATAAAACCAATGTGAAGACAAGTTGGCTGCTCGTGGCCTCACACCCCAACTCACCAGGCTACTCAGTTTCATTCCTCATTCCTTGTATTTATTAATCTACACCTGCCTGACATTTTTTATTTGTGTGTTTAGACTAAAAACTTTGTTTATTTGAATTACAAAATCACAAAGGTTGGAGAAGATCTCTAAGATCAACAAGTCCAACCATCAACCCAGCACTGCCAGGTCCACCACTAAACTTGGTGTCCCAAATCCCCACATCTACAGAGGTTTTGAATGATTCCAGGGATGCTCATCCCACCACTGCCCTGGGCAGAACACCTCAGGGAAGTGGGATTGTGCACCACCTGGCACAATGGATTCCATCTAGAGAAAAATATTCTGGATGTTGAAATATTAAAAAAAAAATAAAAAAAAAGGATAGATTAATTTTTTCATTAAAGCCTTTGAATTCGAAAATAACAATGCAATAAAACAGAATAACCCATTATTGTTGTTGTTCTTTTTCTCTCAGTATTTTATGGAAGAAAAATAACGAAAAGGTCAGAAAAATTTCACGTGTCCCAAGATGATATCGGATGGATCCCGTATTTATTTTTCGAGGTACAATATTTAAATGTCAAGCCTCCCCAGGAGAAATAAATTATTCATTATAATTAGAAAATGTAATTTTTATTTTTTTTTTAAATCATTTATTGGTGACTAAGCAGCATATTCAGTGAGAATGTTTCTTCTTTTGTACAATAGCTGTGTACTTTGAGATAATGTTCTAATTACCTAATTGCAGCTATTGTACTGAACTGGAGGTTGAGATCCAAAGTGTCATGGCAACTGGCAGGAAAGCTCTGCAAGCCTCTGCTTCCTCAGTAGAGTCTCAAAAATAGCTCTTTATTGTAGGAAATAAGGAGGTAAATCTTCTTAACAAGATAAAGCTTGAACCAAGAAAGAATTTTCCCCTTTGCACTTGATGGTAAAGCATAAATTAAGCATTTCTGCTTCAATTTAATTAGCATAAGCCATCATAATAATGTAGCCATAAGTGTTTGCTTTTCCAGTCTAGAGCAAACCTCCTGTGCTCAAGAGATTTACTGTAAATCATTGAATATTAATTTCTTGGATTTTATTGAAGAACATTTTACACAGTCAGCTTAGGAGAGAGAGAACAATCATTTTCTTTCCTTCGCAGGAAAGATCTTATTTAATACTGTGATATTAACTAAAAGGAACTCCATGAAATGCTGCTCCAGTTTTATGATCTTGTTAAACTCTGGAGACTTCTGGGACTGGGAATTTCAGAAAATAGGAAGAGTATATTTTAAATATGTCTGACTCTGAATGTCTGATAGTATTACGTCTCTCTGTTCACTGCAACTCCAGCGATCTCTCATTAACAGTTGTAATGCTAATTAGGAAGCTGTTTCTCACTTCAATTCATAGAAATATATGATTCCATTCAGGCTGAGTAATGATTGCAGAACTGCCATAAATTCAGAAGGGAGCTTGGCACGAATAAAGATCCCAGTTCAAGTCTAATAAATTTTGTAAGTTTAAAATGTAATGGATTAGAGTTTACTTGCACGTTGGTGCTCTGGTGATCTAATCAAAGCAAAGGTTGTTACTGTTGTGCCAGTTCCCATAAATTATGCAACTAATCCTCCACATCTGGGTTTTGCTGTTTGGTTGTGATTTTTTGTTGCTGTTTTTTTGTTTGTTTTGGTAGGGGTGGTGGGGGTTGGTTGGTTGTTTTCCCCCTGAGAAATGTAAAGTTCATCTGTATTGGACACAATTTCAACTGACTGCTGATGCCTGTGCTTTCTGGAGAGCCCATAAAAATGTCCCATCAAACTGAAGTTTCATGAGCTTTTTTTGTACTCTGTCATTAACTGATTTGGGAAACAAATATTTACGAGGTCCATTTGGTTTCCATATGTTTGCCTGGGAAATGGGAGCAGCTGGGAGAAATCTCCTGCCAGGATCACTGGTGGTGTCCAGGAATGATTCTCCTCTGCTCCCAGCACGGCCCTGATGGCACATGGGGCTGGACCTTAACTGGTTCCTGGAATTTTCTGCTTCCAAACATCCCTTTCCCAATGTATTCCACTTCCCAATGTATCTAATTTTCTTTCCACAGAGAAAAGCCTTCACAAAAATATGCCCTTTACCTGTGGGTTTGCACTGAGCCGCTGGAAAACGTGGACCTGGAAAAGAAAGGCCAAAATTTAGGATCTTTCCTTCCCTCCTCTAAAATCCAGCCCAAACAGCAGATTTATGGGAAAAGTTAACACTGATATTGGCTTCCTAGGAAACACAAGATGCTAAAACTATAAGTGATTGTCCCTTAAATTCTGGAAATATCATTAATTCCCCAGGCAGGAGGAGGTAGTGCCTGTTACTGTGGTAGATTTTGGTGAGGTAAGGGCCGAACGTTTATCCTGGTGTTCCAATAGCTCACAAAATGCATATTTGCAAGGCTGCTGGGAATGGCATTTCATATCCAACTGTCTGATGTGCTGAAACAACACTTGCATGAAGGAGCTGGAGACCTGAACTTCCATCTCTTCCACCGGGACACACAAATGTAACTTGCCCGTGGAATTCTGCGGCCGTAAACTTTTATATCTGCAAAGGGAAAGCTGGTCAGGAGGCAAATCCAACTGCAAGAGGAATGCAGAAGTGGTGACCAGCGCACCACACGGTCTGGTTGACTGCACTTAATTTCCTCTGTGAGACTCGAGGCCGTTAAAGCAAATCCCAGGCTGAGACGCCGCTGCTGCTCTCGCCGCTGGAATTCTGGAACGCCGGCTCTGCCTTTTATGAGCTCCCATATAAATCTCGACGAATCCACTGTGAATTAAAATGAATTGCAGCCTCCAAAGTTCTCTCATTTTGCTTTCTTGCCTATCTCTAAACTTTTTTCTTTTTTTTCCCCCCTCTTGTACCTAAGTGAAAATGTTTTCTCTAAACAGTTTTAAGCGCTTAAAAGAATATGTCATTTTCTACTTCCTAAACCTCTTTTCTGTCAGGAAAAGAATATAAGAGGTCCACAGAGATTAAGGATTCAATTTAAAAGTCATCACATACTCATTTTTCTTATGAATATTTAGACCAGTGACTTTCCAGAGCTCACACCTGAATCTGTCAAATTCTGGGCTTATTTTCCTGGAGTCAAGGACCATCAGTTTCTCCTTTTTCTGTTCTTACACAGGATTTTGGTTTTTTTATGCTCTGGCTGCTCCATTACAATCCAGAAACATCTGTTGCAGCTGCTCTGAGCAGGAGCTGAACCAAAGGTCTCTGAGTCAGGAGCAGCAGGAAAACTGATCAGTCCCTCAGATTTCTCCATCACTTTGCAGCCCTCAAAAGCAAATGGAAATTCAGGGAGAGGGAGGCCTGGATTGAGCATTTCCTCTCTAGAAAAGGCAGCAGAGATTCAAAACCGAGTTGTGCTGCAAAGCTGATGTCGCAATTTGTCACATCCGATACTCTCAAACCACATTGAGCTTGTTCCAGTTTACAACTGGAGCTTTCCCTTCTTTTTATCCCTAGATGTGGTTTTTTTTCAGTAACAACAAACCACGAGATGCAAACGGGTGACATTTGAAATTTGTTCCTTTACCGCAATGGAAATTTTTTTTAATTATTTTTTAAATCCCCACCTTCTTTGCCAGTGGGGGTTACTGGATCCTCAGTTCCTCTGCTGTTCCTACATGTTTTGAAGGATTGCTTTGTCTCCAGCTGCTGGGAGCTCTTTTCTTCCTAACAAATGTCAAGAGCTGTTTTGCTAATTCCTCTCCTACGTGTCATCCCTCCTCATTAATTCTCCCAATGACAATGACATCTTTTCCAGAGACACTTTCCCCCCCACCACGCCCCGAGCTGTCACCTTATTTATTTCTTCCTCTGCCTTGCCTTGAGGAACATGATAAACTTGAAGTCAGTGCAGAAGGTTTCTCAATTTGTTTAGGTTTTTTGGTAGAGTTGTGTAGCTCTGGCCAAAGCAGGTATAAGTCTCTCTGTTATTATTTTTTTTTCCCTATAAATAAACATACATATAACAGTACAATAATTGAATAAAATCATTTTGTTAAAATAAAATTAATTTATTTTATAGGGTCCTTTCAGGCTGTGCAGTCTGACCTCTAAAAATAGCAGAGCCAAGAGCTTTGACTCAACACTGTAGAGCTGCAGCTGGTCTATCATGAAAATACCTGATGTTGACTTGGAGAAATCAAGTAATGAAAAGCCTTTAACACCCCTATATTAACAACTAATAAATGCTACTGTTTAGGCTGAATATCTTTAACCCCCCTCCCCCAAATTGTAGAGTTTTGTAGAAATATTTCTATTAGATTTTTCCACAGAGTTTACATTAGGGTGAACATTTCTTCTCTTTCTAGATCTCACCCTGTAATAATTTCTCCTGTTATGAGAATTTCTGCAGTTGCCGGTTTTAATCTTTTCTATTGCTCTGTTCCCTCTCAGAGGAAACACGGTTTTTCTCTGGCAATGTTGCTCCCTTACTTACTCACCTTTCTTTAAATAAACATTTGCTTTTCACATCTTCTTTCATGAGGTGGTTCTTGTAAGAGGAATGCACACTGTAAAGCAAGAAAATAAAAATTAATGCATGCTCAATCTTCTTCAAAGGTCAGGAAGGATCCAATAAAAGCTGATGGGAGCTGGGTGTGTGATTTACCTGTCTGGAAAATCCTGGCCACAGGCAATATTATTATCTATTAAGCAGCAGTAACACGAGTCAGATCCTTTCCACCACACAGGAAGATTTTTTTGTCAACCCAAAGACCACAGGAAAAAAAAGCATTTAGTAGAAGAAAATAAACCCCAAGAAGTATCTCAAGTCTTATCTTGGAGTCTGTGAGTCAGAGACAACAAAAGCTCTGAAGATGGAATGATTTGTACTAGAGGGGAAATAATTCAGCTTAATGAAAATCAAAAAAAAAAAAAAGGAGATATGGACTTCAGAGTATTTGAACAGATACTTTTAATAGAAATAAAATTTATGTACTACAAGGAAAGGTTATGAATACAATTAGGAGGAGGCAGCAGTTGGAAGAACAAATGATGGTTAAAGCAAAATAGGAGAAAGCATGAAAATAAATACCTAGCAGGTGTGCAAAGGTTTATCACGTGTTCTTATCTCCTCCATTAGTACTAGAAATACTGCCAAATCTCCAGAAATGTATTTAAATAATTATTCACTCAAATTGATGATAACTACTAAAGTTTGAGGGCTTTGGTGAGGATGAGGTTGCAACAGTTCCATGGAATATCCCAGAGAGCCTCTGGGAAGCTTCTGTTTGGATCCATCAGGTAAATGGGAGCTTACTGGTTTGGTATCAGCATCGCTGCACCTCTTAATTTACATCACAACTTCATGCCTGCAAGTTGAACATCATCTAAACTTCTCCAGTGCCTCCTCTGAAGCATTAATTCATATTTCTCACAAAGGTGCTGAGCAGGTGTTTTCCCTCTCCCATAAATCGAATAGTGTGTCAGGAAAATGTATTTTCACACTGCATGGAGAAACAGCCTGATGCTGTAAAGTGCTACTGCAAGGGCTGGGAAGGCACCATGAAGTCTCTCCTGCTTTGTGAAAGTGGAAAGGAAAATCAAACTGCTGAGTATTAAAGATCAACCCTAAAAAAGGGAATTCATGATGCTTATTGTCCCAAACAGAGATCCAAGATTCCAAACCTATTCCCCAGCAAGGCCTCCTACCCACACATGCTGTTTTCAGCAATAAATGAAGTTCTGGCTTATGGAAAAAACCAAAACAAACAAACAACTAAACAAACAAATAGATTTGTTTTCCATTTGCTTGAAAAACTTTTTCCGTGGTGGCTGTGAAAAAATGCACATTTATAATTATAAGGGTATTACTTTACTTAGGTCCAGCTAGTTTTAGTTCTTATATTCAAGGATTAATGTTTCAGTTCTTGTGTTCATCTTGCAAAAAATTAAAAGAGAAGATCAGCATTTTCATCTTTCTCCCCAACATAGAACCTAAGTCCTGTCTGACCAGCCTAGAAGAGAGGATTTAAAGTTGAAGAGCCTTCAAGGGCATCCAGAAATTAACTTCACGTCATTAAAAATGGTTTCCCAGCTGATTCACTGTCACTGTAATTCAAAGTTAGTCCTTCCATGAAGGTTCAGCAGTAAAAGATTTCCTTCTCCAGGACTCTGAAACTTTTTGTTCGGGAGGTTTCCAAGAGATACCCCTTGGAAATTTGAGCTTATTCTTAAAGAAATGGAAAAATAAAAGCCAACTGTAAGGCCACAAATGAACATAAAAAAGCCAGACACACTTTTAGCAAAAAAAAAAATTTAAAAAGAAAATTCCTTTCTATTTATGTTGTAAAAGGTCAGCTGCCTCTGTTGAGCAAGATAATTCAATCAGATTTTGGATTCTGAAGGTTTTTTTACTTTTCTACCCATTTAACAATATTTAGAAATAGGTCTCTTTTTTTTTGTGGGAAAAACAGCCCTGAAATTGGGATGGTTCTTCAGCAGAGCAGTCAAGAACATCATCATAACACTGTTTGAAATGTGCCCTTATCCATAGAAATTTGCCCAAAACTGAATTTTGTGGGGAAATTTCCAGAAACTTCTGCCATTTTCTGGTAATGGGTGAATTAACCCACCCCTCAGATTCCTGAGGAAGGTTTGCACCAACCTGCAGGGTTTTTTGAGTGCAATTCTAATGCCACATTTACGACACAAATTCAACACAATCTTCCCATTTGGAGGAAAGGAGAGAGATTTTCCTGCCTTTTAAGCGAGTGGGGAAGGTGAGAAACAGCACATTCTTAGGAATATGAAGTGCTGGGATACACAATTAGAAGAGGTGTCTAAAAGTTTAATTGAACAATGACATGCTGTCAGCAGCAGCTTAAATGCAATCCCATAATGACACTTGCTATAAACTATGTCAAAATGAAAAATAGGTGAGAGCTGACGTGTGGAGAGGCTGAGATTCCTGTGCTGCTGATGGATATTCCTACAGAAGCAAAACAAGTGACAGGAACATAAACTACAGCACTGATTGCCCTGTAATTAAATGGAATTAATAAAGGATGGAGGTAACAAAACATGGAGTGGGACCTGTGAAAATAGGGACAAATGTTGGCTTGGAAATTCCACTGTAGGAGTCCAAGATTTAGGAATAACAATTGGTTGGTCGCCTCTGGTGGCAGATTTGTGAGCTTTCTGTCAGACAAAGCAGCCAATTCTTGTTTCCCCCTCTCATTTTTCCACTCCCTGTGTCACATCCCGTGCAGGTTTATTGCTCCTTGGGAATTGTGAAGGACTTGGGTGGTGCTTTTCCTAACACAGCACAGTGCAGCTCTCCCTCCCCACTGCAGGGAGGGCTTTGATTGTCACTGGGAATAAATTCCTGCTTTTCCTCTGGCTGTCACACTCCAGCCTCATCTTCAGTTTAATAGACCACACATTATTTTAGGAGAGCTCTCCCTGGTTTATTTTAGTGCCATCATCACAGTCAACCAAGTGCTGACTTCTCAGCTCAGCATCCCAGGATAAAAGGTATTTCTTCTCTCCCACATCCCTCACTTTGCATGAGTTTAATTTCAAACAAATCTCAACAGAGATATATAAAAAACCAAAACAAAACAAACACCACAAAAAACGGATGAAACCCAAAATATCATCCATCTGCTTCAAATGCTTCAAGGTTTGATTGTGGGGTGTTGAATATTTCCTACTGTTTATTAATAGATAATAGCAAATGGAATTTGTTAAATAACTTCAAATCACATTCTTAGGAAAAAAATTAGCATTTCTTTTATCAAATTCATTTTCTATTATTTACCAGCTTGTAGAGTTAATTTTAATAAGTGACTTTAATAATTAACTTTAATAAGTAATGCCAACAGTAAATAGTTCACCCTAAATTCTATATTGAATGCAGCAGACCCTTACTAATTCACATTTTGCTAATCCTCACACTTTCTGACACACAGGAGCCTCTCCCTTCACCTCCTGTCTCTTTGCAAAGATTTAATATCCTAATGTTTCGGTGACTCCTCAGCCTGTTGGAATCTCATTATTTATACAGCATAAATAATTAAACTAGACCCTCTTTTTAAAATTAAATGAGCCATGGATTTCTGAACTAGTTACCTTAGTTATAAATTGTGCCAGGAGCTGATCATCCCTCACTTGCAATTAAAGTGTTCACCGACCTCTGGCACTGAGGCTCCAGAATTAGGGAAGTCACCCAAGCAAGGACAGACTGGCTGGGATGCAATATGGACAGTATGGACAGTGCAGTGCTTATGATTTTTTCCCCCTCCATTTTTTTGGAAGCCAAAAATCACCCTTTTTATTGGTGAATATGTGTCCAGGTGGCTCTGCTGCTCACTCAGTAAATTCACTGTGTCACAAACTGGGGCTGTGCTCACATTCTGCACCCAGAGGTACTTGTGGAAACCTCAGATTTATCAGGAAGAAGATACTTTTCCCTTGTTATTACTTCCCAGTTGTTATTCCATCATTTAACAGAGGGGTGAATAGTTCCAACAGGTCCCTGCAATTACTATTTTTTAGGTAACTTGTTAAAAAAATATTTTTAATTGTTTGATCATTAATACCATTTCCATGCATATTTTGAAATAATTAAAAAATAGATATACACTATAAAAAAAGTCCCCTGGCCAAAGGGCAGTGCCCTCCCACCCAGGGAGGGAGTTTACTTTTTGAAAATTGAGATGCATGGCTTGTTTTAAACTTCACAGAGGAATATTTTTTTCTGAGTTACCTGAATAAATCTCTGCTTAATCCCTGGGTGATGACAGAATTTCTCAACTCCAAACTAACACCCAGCCTTTGGAAATCCTGATTAGCCACCCAGCCAGTCGGAGGGGCAGAACCAAACCACAGGCCAGGCTTGGAGAAGCTGTTTGTAGGGAACACAGCTAAACAAACAAAACACGGTTCAGCCACTCTGGGCTGGTGTTTGGGACCAAAAAACACCTCCAAAATAAAAATCCCTCTCCTAAAAGTGTTTAATGTCTCATCAGTACACGGGGCTGAGCATAACAGAATATTGGAAGTACGAATACGCTGCGTTTGTGCAGGCAGAGCTCCAAACGAATCCAGCCTGCACGACACACGTGTAATTACAATGCCTTGGCCCCTTTAGCTGCAAACAAATGAGATTTGTTTGATGTTTTACGCTGCACCACAGATAAAAGATCCCCAGCAAAACAGCCAGCCTATTGCTTTGATCCCGTGTTGAAGCACGGAGATGCAGATTAAGGTCTAAATCCAGCTTTTTCTGATGGCAGCACCACTGAAGGAAGGGTGTGTATCTTGGTGTTTTAATTAATAAATAAAAGGAGTGAGAAGGATAGTTTTTTATTTTTCCTTGTCTGAAATAATTACTTTCTCGCCTCGTGGTCAGCAGGGCTCATTTTGCTGACAAGAAACCAACAATAAAAACACCTTCACAAAACTAAGGGTGATGTGACACAGTGGCTGCTGCACTGGAGGGTGGGAAAAAAAAACCAAACTTCTCCTGCTCTCTATTGCAGATGGTTCATTGCATTCAATCAGACAACCATTGATAGGTTTAAAATTCAAGGGAACCAAAATAAAGATTGAGATTTTATTACCTGTTTGGCGGGAATTTTTGGTCCTCCCAGAAGTAGCTGCACACCTGAGAAAGCAGAGAGCGAGAAAAATCGGTTTATAAAAGGTGTAGAAACTGCAGCAAATTGAAAGAGCATAAGAAAAAAACCCAAACAAACCAAACCAAACCCAAACAAACTCCCAAATCCTGTTACTGGGATTTTTTGTTGTTGTTGTTGTTGTTGTTGTTTTTAATGAAAATGAGATTAGGCTGGAAAGTGCATAAATTTACACTTATTGAGAAGTGGGAAAACACATTGAAGAGTAAAAAGGTATGAGAAAAAAATTGCCATATTACCTTATGGTTTTAGAAATAGTATCTAAGTTAAATGTATAAAAAAATTAGAGAAGGAAGGTTTTTTTATTTTCACTTACTTTCAGTACTCTTATAAGATACTAAAATACATCCAAAAATAGAATAACACAATTATTCTGGGAGATGAATGGAAACTTTCTGCATCGGGTTTTTTAATCACCTTTGCCTTTTGGATATCAAATGAAACACAAGAAATATATCAGCAAAATAGATGTTTTCGAATTTAAAGGCCCTCAGTGAAAGAGAAAAAGTTTGAAAGAAATCAACAACAGGCTTTGTAGGAATATTTTATAAATTATCTACTTCTTTGCTGCAAGTTACTCAGCTGTTCCATCCCTCATTTAAAGCCACATTTTTTTCAGATGTTTGGTCACTGAAAGCAGAAATATTTTCTCTTTGCAGTGCCGTGCCAGCTCTTGTTTATTCCTCCTGATCCTTTATTTTAAAATAAACCTGCAAATCTCTAATTAAAAAAAGTCAAAATGCGTGATTAATTACAAATCAAGAGTATTTTGAAAGCAGGAAAGAAAATAAACAACTGTGGTAAAGTGAACAGATGGGATTACAAACTGAATTGCCATCATTAGCATTATGAGTCTGATAATTAGTTATTAGAATAACAATACATATTTAATATTAATATGAGATAACACAAGTGTTATTTCAGGGACAGAAGAAGAAAATGAACTTGGAAGGTTCTAGTTAAGGATAATTGGAGTTGGACTGCCTGCCAGTGTCTGGGATTGACTTTCAAGGCTCTTGTGGAGATAATTCTGATTTTTGGGGCAGAACCCTGATTTTTGTAAAGCAGAAAGTGGCCTCACTGACGTCTTCAGGTTGCAGAATTCAGTATAGCAGAGAGGATCAGCTACTCCTGTAGTTCCCTTTCAGACAGCCTTATCTATGAATAAAAGTCTTATAAAATAAAGTCTTGTCTTTGCTAATACTGAAGTATCTTGTGCTTGATGTAACTGCCACTGAAACCAGTAAGAGTTTGCTTATTTTGCAGTAATTAAATTAATTAATGAGGAGGTTGTCATGTCACCTGTGAGCACTGGTAACTTCTGCAGGCCTTTTTCCCCATCCCTCTGCTGCCAAAGCTGTAGAGATGCAATAATTTCAGACCTCTGAACAGGATCCTGCCACCAAAAACCCATCCTAACTCATCAGTGCTCCCAGAAAACAGGGGTACAGCTGACCCCAAGTGGAAGTTTGAATGGATTGAACCCTGACTCTGTACAATTTCAGAAATCTTGGTTTTTCTGCCAAGCAACACATGATTTCTGGTTTATTTGATGAGACTAAATCTGGTTTTATTGTGGGATTCAGGCTCTAAAAACTCACTGCATGTAGAAAGAAGATATTTAGAATTATGTGTATATTGAAGACTGGCATAACTTGCTCTGAAGAAGATCATGAGCAAGTGGAAAGGCCTTTTATTAGTGAAAAAGGCATTGATCTCCCTAATTCCCAAAAAGTAGACTAAAGGTGAGGGTATTTAAATGACAAATAAAAACTGAATACAGGGTAAAACAGTATTTTCCCATAGTACTTCTAATAAGTTATAGTTTATAGGAGTGTAAGATCAGGTATGATAGCTAGGACTGGGCAAATTGAAGTCAAATCAGGGAATTATGATGAGCTGCCAGGTGACATAAGGCAAAAAGTGAGCCTAAACTTTGATATAATAATAGTAGAAAACTAAAGTCACTAATAAGATGGGTTATTTTTCCTCTTAACTTCGAGTGGCTTTGCTTGGATTAGAGAACTGGAGAATCTAATTGAAGCAATTGTATAGTTAGTTCCATTTAATGGCTCTTATACAGTCAAATATACATTAAGAAGAAAAATGTTAAGTGCTGATGTGCTGAATATACTGTACAGGCAACATTTAATTGCAATAGGATATCATTTGGAAGGACTGCTATTTCCCTGCCTCCCCAAAATGAACCTCCCCACCAAATAATACAGAGTGTAAGCAAAACTGAAGTTCAAAGATCTAATTTCTAATTCAGGGAGGCATTAAACATATGCTTAACTTTGACCAAATGTGTAAAGCCATTAACTTCCAGGACCATAAAGAAGTGCTTAAAGTTAAATGGGTACTTAGGTTATTATTCACACAGGGTTGCCTTCTTGAATCTCACTCCCCTGCCAGTATTAGCACTTTCTTTAGCAGCTGGTCCCATTGATTACCAAAACAAACCCCCCCCCCAAAAAAAAACTCCTGTTCCTGACCATAAAAATCAGAACCTGATTCTCATCTGTACATATGGGTTTAATTTTATATTATATTTATAATTGTGGGGGTTTTTTCCTGCATTAAATATGAGCAGAGGAAAACTGGGCTGTGCTGCCTGATTGTTAAAGGCAGGCAGGTAGATGAATATTTGTGCCTGTAGTGAATTGTGTATGCAAATGAGAAGCTGCCTTTAAAAATCAGGTCTTATGTTTTTGGAGACTCCAAGAAAGACTAAACTTAAGGGAAATCCAGGCTGAAAAGTTTCAGCCCTACAAATTTTTCTACTGACATGAAGTGGGGAGAACACTCTTAAAACCTGAATTTCATACAGAAAATACCTAGAACACTTTCATGGTGGTTAATAAATGGGCTACTAATCTAAACCAACCCTGAAAGAATAGAGCAGAAAACATACTTGCTATTTTCACTTATTCTTCAGTAATTGAAGGAGATGATGGGTTATTTGATTTAATTATTTTTCTCTCTAATGATCTCAAAATCAGACCTTGAATTTTGTGTTCTGCCATATTTTGATTCCCTCCCCTTCCCTGCCAGACCAAAATCTTCCCCTTGACTTGCACTTGTTTCACACAAGCCCGGAATCAATTCCAGCTTATCAGTGTCAGACAAACCATGTCTTATCAGGGGAACTGGAAAATCCAGATAAAGCAACAATTTTAGCAAGTTTTGAGACCTGTAGCTATTTTAGGTAAGTTAGACTCTATTTGCATTAAATTATTTTTGAACACTTGGGAATTTTAGTCAAAAATTCCCCCTGGAGATATTAGTTGTGGAGGGCTGCCTTCCTTGTTTTCAAAACCAAACCATGCCACAACCATCCAAACTCCCAACACCCAAAACTCCTCTGGGAAAATACGTGCCCTCTCTCACTTACAAAATAAGGATATTGCCTGGATTTCATGGATTTCATGTTTTCTGTGATTGTTTCTGTGATTGTTTCAGTCTGTTCTTGGAGAACAGGTAAACAAACGTGGAAAGAAGGAGTTTAAAGGTAAATTGTTACTTTGAATTTTGCATTCCTTACCTTCCCCTACTGGGATTTATTGCTCAACACTTGAGTATAACCACAAAATCTCCAACCCCAGATAGAAAGTCAGTAGAGATGTGACTGCCCTGATCCTTTCCTCTCCCTCTCCAGCTCAGCTTTAGCTGCCAGCTGGCCCTCCCTCCTTGTTTTTTTCCAATGGACAAAGTGTTTGAAAATCCCAAACCAAACAAACCAAAGAGGCAGTGACATAAAAATCAGGATCATAGCAAGAGGGATGGGAGGAAGAGCTGTCCTGCTCAGCCTGATGCTCCCACGTCCATCTGCAACCTCAACCATCTGCACAGGGGAAAAGAACTGCAGGAAAAAACACCCTGCAGGAACAAGAGCTGCATTGCTGGGTTTGCAGAGGAGAAACATCCCCATTTTCCAGCACAAACAACAGGTTTGGAATATCATCACCCAACTCAGGAGGAGGATTTCCCTGTCAGACCACCACAGAGAATTCTCTAGATATTGTGGGGTGAGGGAACTTCCAGCAAGGACTGAGTCACCTCATCCTCAATCGCATGCACTAATCCAACCTGAGGATTATCAAAATCAACTAGAAGATTCTGTAGGGTGAAAATCCTTTAAAAGAAGTTTCTTTGAGGAGGAAAACGCCCACCTTTTCCACCTGAAACTTTCAGCAAATTGGGCAAGTTCTGAAATCAAACTAAGAGGGGATGGCACTCAAATAAATTTCCCTGTCCTTTGCCTTTCTAAACTCCTATAAAATCTGTAGCCAAGGCTGCAACCTGATAGAATATACAACTTTTTACAAGAGTAAATATATATTTTGGAGTCCAGAAAAATCTGCATATTTAGCCCAGGATAATCCTCTTGGATGTTTGGCAAACCAGCCTAAATTCAAGTCTCTTACCCATTTTGGAAAGGACTTCTAGAAAGATTAATAAAAACACATTTTGCCTCAAACAAATCCTAGTATGGATTGTCTAGTTATCTGGAAATATGCCTTGCACTTGAACCCTCCTGTGAAGTATTTGGTTCTATTTATTTTCCCTGAAGTCTTTATTAGAGCCGACATTTAAAGTTTTTAACAGAATTGACTTTAACTGGAATTTATTGGCCATTCTTCCCCTGCACAAACACTTTTTAATTTAAAAGAACATGTTTTTTTACAGTGAGGTTTCAGCCCAACTGTTTTTTTTTTTTTTTTAACTTAGTGAAAACCCCTTGAAATGCAGTTGTACTTTTTACTTAAGGAGAAGTTATTCATGTGAGGAATGGCAGTAGGTCTAAGTCCATAATCCTAAATAAAAGGTTAACTCTTGCAATGCATTATAGAGTGGCTGTTTGGCCACTTTTGCTTTCCTAAAGCAATTTCCAGAGATATATTTACTCTGAACAAGGATTACTCCCCAAGAGATAACTCCTCCTTTATTGGAAGGTTTATTTAACTAAGAGTGAGACGTGAATATTTAGAAGGCAGCACATGTTTCTGAGACACTTCTCTTGCAGGTTGTAGATGATTCACAGGAAAGAAACCTTTTGATGCCTTACCAGAATACAAAATGCCAGGTCCTTCCATGGTGCAAATGAAAGGAGCTCTGTTTCCTTCAGCACACATTTGGAGCTGCAGTCTGGCTTATTTTTGCTTTTGTAGATCTCTCTCACCCAACTGCTTTCATTTTGAAGAGTCTTCTTTGCCCAAAACCAAAAAAATAGCAGCTCAAATACCTGACACTGGGCAGAGAAAACTTTGGAATTATGGAAATGTGGGTAGGAAAAGAGTCTGATGATGTTTGAGTCAAGTTCATGAGCGAGGTCTTTATATAAATAGACCATAATGTGAACATTTGAAGGATGGTCTCAGATCTTAAACTGCTTTTCCTCAGTGAAGTTCACTTTTGAAGACTATTTTTAAAGACTATTTTGCTGGCTTGTATTGTAGCACTTTTGTAATACAGGTTTTATGTGATCCAGGTGCTAAAGTCATGATTTAAATATTATGACATTTATTATTAATATATACTGTCATTTGCTACCTGAAAAAATGTAATGCTACCTCATGAATAAATTATCCTGGCGAGATACTACCCAAATAATAACAATTTCCTGTGTGAAAAGAGCTTAAAAATTAGTGCTAAATAATAACATGTTATTAAGAATGTATTCTGGTCCTTACAGACAGCAGTAAATTAAATATTTCCCAGCTAAAGCCTACGAAAAATAAGTATTCCAATTACAGACGGAAGGGAAGCCACGAATCCCTTGGAATTGCTCCAGCAAGGGGTTTGCCAGTGCTTATAACAAACAAATGGGTTTTACCTGAAGGAATTGAAGATTAAATCTGATATATAACTGTGAAATAAATAATACAAGCATCTTATGGTTACTTACAGGATGAGGTCTGAGCCGGTGTCTGGGTAGAATTAACAGCAAGGAGTTATTTCGAGGATCAGTGGATAAGAATTGAAGATTATACATTCAAACTGGAAAAGTGTCATTCAGCATCCAGATTTTTTTTTGTCCAGTCTTGCATTTGCCACAAAACTTCGGCCATTGCAACGGGCCACGTCTGTGTTTTCACATTAACCTGAGAGGAGGATGTGTCCATGTGTATCAGGGCATCTCCCACCCATCTCTGGGATGAATCTCCTCAGCAGTGAGAAGGATGGATGGATTTCTTCAGAGAGGATTCTACTGAGATTAAATATTAAATTCCTCCAGCTCTCTTTTTATCTACATATTTTCTTATTGAGCTGCCTTTTTTTTTTTTTCACCCTCTTTTTTTTTGTCTAAAAGTCATTGCTTAATTTTCTCATGTGTCCCTCTAAAGGGAACAAGGTGGTGAACCTCTCTGTGGTTCACCAGCACCTTTGCCAGGCTTATCCAAAACCTGGAATGCTTCGATTTCCTTCTTTGTCTCTGGGTATCTTGGTTTGCAGCCTGAGTGTTTCCTTCTAAATCAATCATCACATTCTAAAGACAAAATCCTCCTCTTGTAGATGGCAACAAATGACTTGAATTTTTCCGCTGTAAGAACAAATAATCAAATTAGAATTTTCCTAGGATATTAATTCAATCTAGGAAGCATGATTAACCATCCCACTGCTAAAAAAAAAAAAAAAAAAAAAAAAGCCATATTTATTTATGCTGCTTTGCTAAAGGTGGATACAGACCTGAAGGTTAATGCTCAAAGAATAGAACAATGCTTTGCTTTTTAAAATTAGACTGTTGCTGTGAGTGATGTGGAGCGAGAACTCAATTGTCAGGAATGCACCAGAGAATAACTTTTAGTCATTCTCAGTTATTTTTGTACCTCTTGATTTCTTTAAATAAAAGATAAAAAAACTGGCACCTCGTGCATTCGTGTTTCTCTATTTAGTGCTGGAGAGGGTAAAAGGGGAAGAAAGGTAAAATATGGCAGTGAGCTGTGGGCAGTTTCCATCCCAATTAAATGGCTTTTGTCGTAGAGAGATTAATGAGATATTTCATAATTTTTGCCAACCTTGCTGTTGGCATTGTGTTGTCTGAAGCCCAAAAACTCACCTTCCACATTTTTCAGACTCAAAGAACCAGAACAGTTTAAAACAAAAACCAACACAAGCCCCTTTGTACGTTTTGAGCTGCGTTTCCTGCCGATTTCCTAAAACCAGAATTAGCAGCATGGCAGGTTACTGATGCTGATGGGCATCTAAGCTTAGATAACATGTACCTGGAGATAAATTTGGCTCTGTGTGCTGCATAATGCTGGAAGAACTGCAACATGGAGGCTGAGGAATAACTGAGGATAAAAATCCTCAGGGGTGAAATACCTGATGATTCTGTGGCTGCACGGGGTGTAATAACACGGGCTGGAGATGAATTTACAGTGTGGGAAATCAGATGCCACCTGAATTCGGAGTGGGTAGCAAATAATTGTGAATGCTGAAATATTGGGGGTGTTTTAAGAATATCAAGCACTAGAATTTGGTATGCAGGGAGGGTGTGTGTCAATGCAAGAAGGGCTTATTCAGAGACAGACTATGAATATGCAGCAGCTGAACTTTCCTCCTTTACCCAAGTTTGTGGTTCAGCATTTTTTCTGTTTATTTTTACATTTTCCAAGGTGAAAAAGCAGCTGGATCCAGTTATCAGCAGACACCTTCAGAGCCTCTTGCCCCAGGTTTCCTAGCAGGGTGCAGATGGGGGTGGATGTTTTCCCTTCCAACACGCCAGTGCTGGGAGATTTTGGTGCATGTGGGACATCCTGCTCCCGTTTAGTGCCTGCAGCTCTTCCCTGTGCCAGAATTTACTGCATGGGAAGCATTTCACAGTCCCTTCTTTTGCTGTCCCTGCTGGCACAGCCACCTGGACTCACCTAACCCTGCACCACACACCAAAACAGGAGCCACCTGAAAGAGCTGAGGGGTTGAATGAGGTCATTAAACTGAGAGAGTCGGACGACTCGCTTCATTTAAGACTTTAAAACTTAAGTGTGTGAATCTTTATTTAGTCACTTAAGTCAAATGTTCTCATTTCCAAACCCGTTTCAAGGGAAATTAAACATTTGGCAGTCCTAACAATTTTGTCAGCCTGCAGACAGGTATGGATTGCTTCATATCCTTACATTGTAAAAACCTTCCATTTTAATATAAACCTAGCCCAAATTTCATTCTAGGCATTGATTAAATCAGCATGAATTTAAATAAATAAACAAATTATTCTATTTAGTGAATAACAGCTACTACAGAAATAAGATATAATACAATCCTATGCTTTGCATGAATTTGCATGAGGTCATGGCTTAAACTTACCTGATATAATAAGGATTTAGGAAAAGTTGATATTGTTTTCATTTAGCATTTTTATTTGCTTTTTTTTTCAGCAGTATTTCCTCAACTTTAACAAGCGTTTCAACACAGGAGAAAAGTCTGTTAGTCATCAAACAGAAAAAAGTACTGATAACCTTGATCTCCTGGAACAAATTGTGGCCATGTGTGACATTTTGGTATTTTTACTATTGAAAGTACCTCCAAAAATACCTATTGCAGATACCAACAATTAGTGATCATGATTATGCAGTTTAAACTTCAGCATTTCTTACTCTCTTTTTCCTCACTGAATCCTCATTCCCCAGATAAGTAGCCCATTGCTGCTGCTGCCGGGATTTTTTTATGTAAGCTATTACAGGTGATGACTCAGAGTTATCTGTTGAAATTAATTCTATTAGGAATATATTCACTGGTTTGTTCTAAAGCAGCAATTTATCACATTTGAGTACAACACACTGATAAATCTCCGAGCCCTGACAAAACACCTTCCCGAGATTTATTTCTGCACGTTCCAACGGACCAATCTGTATTTCCCACACATTCTGGGGTTCAGAGAAATGCACCGTGGCTGATGGGGAAGTGAAGCCTGGGAAAGCTTGCTGGATAATTAAGTGATAATAGTACTATCTCACTGTTTTATGAGGCAGTAACACAGTCCCTGAGTGAATAAACCACGGAGCCGAAAGCCTGCGCCGTTTATTCCAACGAGGGAGCTGGATCATTGCCAGGAGCGTTGTTACAACAGCACCATTACATTAGCGGGCTATAAACGTTTAATTAAATCAAATTTGGTGTGGATTCCTGCACATGGCATGGGAAATGATGTCAGAGCTTGAGGATTAGGAGAAAGCGCCAGTGGAGACGTTTGGGGGTCGCCGCTTTTGAGGCGTTGGCTGTGGGGTGGGATCCTACTCAGCACACCTGCCTGGGGAATCAGAGGGGATTTCTGAGGTGCAGAAGGTACTGAAATGAGAAAGAACACAGATAGTGTCAGTGCAGTGGCATCCTGACGTTATCCTCAGCGCCACTATCCCTCCTCAATTTTAGGACTGGGGGATTAAGGCAAAGATAAAGCCCAATGAGTTGTAAAGCAAGAAGCTGATGTGTTGGTCCCTGGTCCAGCCTGTGATCACTATCTTGCTTTTCTCTATGAAAGACAGATGGAAAAAAACCCCACACCTCAGAAATATTCGGGAAGTTATCCATAAAGCCCAGTAAGACCTGGGTAAACACTGACAGGGCACGGTGTGGTTCCTGAGACAAATCCCTGTGACACCCAATCCTGAAAGCTCTGCTGAGATTTTCCAGATAAAGGTACAAATTTAATATAAATATTTGGATGCAGAGGCCTACTTGCACTATCCACTGGATGGAGGCTACTCATTTCCTTCGTATAAATGACTAAAATGGTGTCAAACTGTCATGGTTTGGGTCAAAATCCTGCTTTTGAATGACCTAAAGAGAAAAAAGCCTGTGGGTGTGTGGTGATTGATCCCCTCACACCTCTTGCTGTACCTCACCTGCTAGGAGTGTACTCAGGGAATAAGGGAGGTGGGATGGCAGCAAACAGGGCACTTTTTTGGCAGACTAAATAAACCCATAAAAATGCTACACCTGCCACAGAAACCAGCTCAGACTTTCACTTCCAATGCAAGCGACAGTAAATGCTTGCAAGCCAAAAGTATCAAACAACTTGCATCGCATCGGCCAGAAGTGCTGCAGGAATTAAGATTATGGTATCAAACAAGGCCAGCAGCACACAATAAAAAAAGTGTCTGATATAAAAATTTAAATCAAAAAATAAATACAATGGGAATAAACCAAAAATAAACTGCCATTTCTGTGTTTCTGTAACTGCAGAAGCCCGGGCTACACGTTCTGCTCTGGAGCTCCAAAGCTGTGAAACATTTGCAAGGGGAACACAAAATTAGCAATCAGCCCAACTGATTAAGACAATCAGTTGAAATGTTTTAGTATAAACCCCAGCATTTTTAAACTGAAAAGTTAATGCGAGGCTACTCATTTGAGATGTTAATTAAAATTGAATTAAAAACTGAACAAGCTATTTCCTAACTAGTCCTATTAAATACTTTTCTCATTCGAATCTGGTAAATTTAATAAAGAAATGCTGTAAACATCACTTGAATTTATATATGAACTAGGCACTTTTCAGTAAATCTGGTCTGATTTTGGTGCTAGGGAAGGTCTAATTTTATACAAGAGTATAAAATTAAGATCAAGATTTGTTCAAGGCCTCACAGTAAAACTGAAAATAATGTCAGGTTTCCCCATAAAGAACACTTTGTTCAGTGGGCAAACAGTGCCAGGAAGGAGCCAGATATTGTTGTTATGGCAATATTTGCAACTGCTCATAACTCTTATTTTTATGCCTGGATTTTATTCCTTGCACACACTGTGACACAACACACCCTGGCTGAGCACTGACCCATATTCCCAAAATGCCAATAAGGGAATAAAAAAAATCAACACAAAAGCACGTGGCAAAAAGCAGTTGCAGAGAGGGATCAGCCATAACAATGACAGTCTTCTTCTAGTCCCTCACACTTATTTTCATGCAGAATATTTGCATTAAATCCCATTTCCAAAGTAGGTAATAAGAATGTGTTATTAATGGCAGCTGGATGAGAAATATATTGAAACACCACCAGCTAATTCCTAACAAAATGTGGCTTTTTTTTAGGATATGCTACAGATAGATTGGTGGATAGATCCAGCTGGATTTTCCCTCATTTTTTGTATCCATTCTTCCTTCAAAAGGACTATTGAGGCTAAAGGAGCTCTGAGAGCACAACCTGAGTACCATCATCCCCTCCTGGAGCCCTCACACCCCTCCCTCTGGACAGGACCTACACCATGAAGGGCAAACAGAGCAGACATTCAGCACTGGAGGGGACTGGGCTGTTGTACCATGACAAAATATCTTGGCTGGTGATCCCAGGCTGCTTCAGCAACTCAGCACTCAAAGGAATTTGTAATACAGAGCAATTTCCGAATTTACACCACTTTTCAACTTCTGGTTCCATCACCCTCTTGGCACAGTCAACCAGCTGATCTAATGAAGGGATAAAAGAACAGTTGCTCCATTTTATAAAATGATTATATAGTTTCTCAATCAAGAAAATGAGGGATCAAAGGCCACATTTAATTTTTTTAGCTTTTTGTTGTTGTTTTTTTTTTTTTCCCCTATAAAGGAACCAAATAATTGACAAGTAAAATGGAACCTCTTGCCAGCAATCTTTCCTAGACCTTGCCCTGAAAACATTTAAATTTAAGATAGAACTGTAAAAACCAAAGTAAATATAACCACCCTCATCTTTTTATTCCACACTTCTTACCATTTCCAAATATAGGTTCAACTTTCTCTTCTGCCCTTGTGCAGTTGAGCCTTTTCATCCTGGCCTTTTTAGTTGAGCTAATCAGTACTTTTTTTTTTTTTGTCAACGGTTTTTTTGTCCAATTTTCTGCATTTTCTCTTCTGCTTAATTGGAACCAAAATAGTCTGGATGGCTGAACTGAAGGGGAGTAATTTTTGTCAATTCAGCATTCCACTGCTGCCGTGCTCCCACACTAAATGGGAGATGTTGGAGTTCAAGTAGCTCATCCCTCCGGTTTTCTCTCTCGGCCAAGAAAATCTTTTTCATTTCGTAGCTTCCCAAAAGATTTTTTGCTTAGCTGCTCTTTTGAGACATATTTGCAATCCAGAAGCTGATAGAACAAGCAAAGATGTAAATATTGTCCTGCTGGCAAGCACTGATTCATTGAAATGGAAATGATTTATGTGAGAGCATCGTTTGTTTTGACCATTATTTGTGTCAGGAACGAGGAGCCAAAGCAATTTAAAAACAGGTGCTCTACATTTGTTTGTTTTACAATGTCTTTTTATCATTAAACTTATTTATAATCTGTATAACCTTCCCGATGCACAGAATGTAAAAGTGCAGTACAACAGACAGCACACACAGAGCTTTAAACATATCAGCTTTACAGAACTAAAACAATCCCCTCTGTGGAAGGGGAGGGGGCTGGGGGTTGATATTCACTCTTTTTTTTAGCCTGTTAATGAAAAATAACAAAATTAAAATCACTTTGATGTGTCAGGTCTGAAACTTTAAATGCCTAGCAAGCTCTAAAAGTAATGCCTCAAAACTGGGTTCCTCCCAGGCTGAGCCTTCATGCTTGAGCAGCCACAGGATGCAAACCATTCCTCGATGATTTATATCATGGAATCAATTCTGAATCAATTCTGAATCGATCATTCCTCGGTGATTTGTACCATTGAATCAATTTTGTATCACGTTCATAAATAATTCGATTCCTCACATCGTTCCTCAAGGAGGGCTTCAGGGTGCAGCTGCTGCATCCCAACTGCAACATTGACTCCTGTGCATCCTGAACATTCTGGGGTCACCAGCTCCTTTGTGTGGGCCTGCCATCTCCCTGTGAGCAAACAGAGTTGAGCTTGGAGAAAATCCAGTGGAGAACGGAGGAACAGGAATAATTTTCTCCCGCTTTAGATTTGGTAACAAAAATACATCGTGCTCTGTGGAAATGAAGATGATGGACAGAAGTTAAGGAGTGGGTGAGAGCAATCTTAACTTGTAGCCACTGAGATTCAGTGCAGAAATTTCAAGTGGCGATTGAAAAAGAAACCTTAATAACCAGTCCCATTGTGCTGGTGGCAGCGAGAAGAGCTTTGTGCTCTCGAGTGGTCCTTATGCAGAAGAGTCATCCAGTGCTGCTGCATTCTGCTTTGCTGAGAGCCTCGATTCCTCCTGCAGAGCTGTGGCTTCGTCCTTGGCACTGAGGCTGAACTCCCTGCAAATCACTCGAGAGGCTTTTCCAGCACAAACAGGGGGATGCAGCAGAGCAAGTGCTGTAAACAAAAGCTCCACTTCAGGGGGAGCTCAGCCAGGGCAGGGCTGCTGGAGCTGGGCATGTTTCAGGTGCTGGGTTGTGTCAAGTGGAATTTGGACCACAAATAGCAATATCTGAAGAGGTGGAGGTGGAAGATTGGGAAGAGCACTTTAAGCTGTTGTCACAGTGCTGTCGTTAGGAGTTGCACAATATCGTCATTTGGAACTTCCAGGACCTAAAGGGGCTACAGGGGGGGCTGGGAAGGAACTGTCAACAAGGGCATGGATTGATGAGAGAAGGGGGAACGGCTTCAAACTGACAAAGGGCAGGTTTAGGTGGGATATTGGGAAGAAATCCTTCCCTGTGAGGGTGGAGAGGCCCTGGCACAGGTTGCCCAGAGAAACTGTGGCTGCCCCTGGATCCCTGCCCAGATATATATATATATATATATATAACAAGAAGTTATAATGTTCTTTACAATTTCAGAATTTCAGTCCCTTTATACTGCAGGTGTCTAAACCAGTTGCACAATTCTTTTTTTTTTTTTTTTAGAGCAAATATACTTCAAAATGCAGTTACTCATCCAGAATTTCGGTTTTGCATAAAAAGAAAAAAATATATATGTACCCTTAAAATAGAGCAATAAAATAAATTTCAGGTACTTCTTGTCTTGCAGATTTCAAAGAGAAGAAGTTCTGAAGAAACAGGAGTTGTGCTCCTTCCCAAAAATATTCATAGAGCCTGAATTTTTAACTCCCAGAGCATCTCTCTGATGTCTCTGTAGCTATATAGGGATGTAGGTACAGGAATATCTAACAAGGAGAGATGTGTGAGGAGGATTGAGGTGGATGGCAGAGATTAAAGCCTGGGTGTCTCTGGCATTACCATATGAGATGCTCAGAATTCTGTGCAGGGCAGGCCTCAGTTCCGAAATGGCAGATGGCATTTTTGGTGTGTCAGCATCGTTAGTTGGAGCTTCAGAAGTCAAAAATTGGGGATGGGAGTCGCCCTGCAAAGTCAGCTCTGCTTCAAAATAAGTGCTGGGAACACGTTCTGTGACTGAGGGACCCACAGGGCAGGAATGATGTAAGAAACCATGGCTGGTACCTTCTGCAGGTGCTGCTTTGCAAGAGGTGCTTCCCTCTGCTCCTTCCCCAGCGACAGAACAGCCACGAACTTTCAGCTGCTTCACTGGAATTGAGAAGAACAAGTCAAAAATGCTCTGAAAATGGATATTATTAATGACTATTGTTGCAGTAAAGCAACTTGCTTTCGTGGATTCATTTAGGCTGGGAGTCAAATCAACAGAGGTTTTACAGAAATTTTGCCATGTTTGAGAACAAACATTTGTATTTTTGCCGCTCAGGACTAATCAGGTATGAATTTCACCCATGGTTTAGTACTCAGAGCAGACTGAGCTGCAACAAACAACTACTTAAAGTCCAATTATCATAAATTCAGCACAAGGAAGAACTTTCCCCCTTTTCCAATTAATTAGAAAATCCACAATGATCACATATTATGAAACCCATATTTTGTCTATCAACAAAGAGCAGATTCAGAGAAACCTGGGGAGAGCAGGAAGGTTAATCTTGTTTCATATTCTTTTCCTATCAGTGGTGTTTTGGAAAAGCTGCCACTGCTGGTGGCAGTCTCTCAGGTGTCTCTGTTGTAAGTGTGGTGTCCTTAGAGCATGGAGGGTGAGATTCAGCTGGAGATGAGAACACAAGTACCAACACACACTGCAGCTCAGCCTTGGGCCATTCTGCTCCCCTGCCCTTCACCCCACACAACAAAGGAGAGAAAGATCTTAAAAACTGGGAGGAAAAAAAAAGCTGATTTTGTTTACATTAAAATTCATGAACACATGGTTTGGCCTTTAATCTCCAAAAGTCACAGTATTTGCTTGAAAGGGACAGTTCCTCACCCACAGACCAGACCAGTTCAAAAAATTCAGCAATTACAAAGGCAAGAATGACCTTTTTTTTGGAGCAAGTAAGAAGGACCTGGGAAGTCTCCTCTTTCTTTTCTCTCTTCTCATCTCCTCAGCCTCTTTTTATTTCTCTCCCCAACACTATAAGCCAGTTTTCTGAAAAAAAAAAAAAAAAGATTAACAAGAACGTGTCTGGCAATGATGCTGATGACATTTTCATGTTCATCTTTGTGCATTACTGTTATCACACAGTATATTCTCAGCTTTGTCTGCAGGCTCATTTACTTCCTAATTTGTCTTTGAGAACAGAAAACCCACAAATATTAGAGCTAAAAGAAAAGAAAAAAAAAAAAAGAGAGAAAAAAATAGAAAACTGGACTTAAAGATGTTATATTTGACTTGAGGGTGCTGGTAGAGAGACAAGATGAAATGTCAGATGAATAATTCCATACTTCAAAGGACAGCAAATTATTTGCAGGGGTTAGGAAGCAATGTCAGGTTCTTTCTCATACTTTGTGGGGAAAAATATCAGATTTCCTGGGAGTACATGAAGTGTTTTTCCATATTCCCTGAGGAACAAGGACACCAGCACAGGGGGAAGATGGGGACTTGTTTCCCATGGCCAGGACAGGGTTTTAAAGGGAAGATAAACCCCCACCATTTTCACACCCATCATTTCCCAACCCCACACTTTGGGTGTCACCAAACGAAGGGCTCTGCTGCACCCAGGAGCAGGTGGTCACCACCTCCCAAAATAGCAGCACTCCAGTGTTGGATTTCACATCCCAAACAACGGGCTGACCGTGTCAGCAAAGGGATAAAGAGATGTGATCACACAGTCTGCATCCTCAGGACGCTTTTAGTGCCAGGCCAAGGCCTTTTATTTTCATCCCTGCACCGTGGCATTTTGGAGCCTGCACCTAATGGGGAATGACTGGCAGCCTTAATGACAAAACAATATTCCAAGCTGAGCTCATGACTCGCAATAACCGAACGCTGCTCATGGGGCAGCTCTGGGAATCTCCAGTGTGAACAAAAAGAGTCCTGCAGTTTTCTCATTTAATTAAATTTAAATCTATGGGGACTGACAGTGCATGTCTCGGGCTTATGCATTCTTTTTTTTTTTTTTTTTTGACTTGTTCTTTGCAGCTTAATGTCATTGTAAAGTAGTTTTTAATCAACAGACAGGCTCCACTGGAGATGAAGCTGACACCTAGTTACCTTTATATCAGGAGTTTTATTAATTGCAACACTAAGTACAGGGAAAATATCTAAGATGACACAGAGTAATAAAACACCTGATGGTGGCACAGAGTTCAAAAGCACTTTATCATTTTCTTTTATGGGTGACTTGCCCTTGTGCCCTTGCCTGGAAATTTTTTTCACTGGGTGGGCTCTCACTTTCACCTGGTTTCATTGTTGCAAACCAAATTATTAAGGGGTATATTCTACATCAGAAAACTGGGGTATTTTAGAAACATCTGGTTTCTAAAAATTCATGGCAGAACCGCATCTGGGTTCTAAAATGCCTCCAATTTGCTGGTTAAAGGGGAACTGCTTTCAGTGCTGTTTCATGGAGAAACACTACTTCTAAGTGGTAGAACGAGTTGTAAACATAGATATAGATAGAGATATAAATATAGAGATTAAAAAACCACCTGCACCACATGAGTCAGTATTTCTTAGAACCAGTTTCTGCTGAACAATTCCTGAACTGCTGTGCTGAACTGTTCCTGACCAGAAGCCACCTAGCCCTTCAGCACAGGGAATGAAATTAGTCACGTTGCATTAACACAACATTAGTCAGGAATGGTGCTAATTGCTAAATCCAGGGCCTTTTGAATTCAGCATTTCTAGGCACAGGAAGCCAGCGAGGGATTGTTTCATTTAACAGAATTCTTTTTAATGTAGGGAAACCCTTTAAAACTACCTCCCAAATACAAATTCGGTTCTATAACAAGCTTCTGAAAACCCAGGGTGCACACAGTTGTTCTTTAGAAATCCAGACAAGATGCCAACAAGCAGCTGACAGTTCATTTCCACTCTCTGTGCTGCTCCCTCTCTCAATTCCTATTTATTAATTAGACTATTCCTGGTCACAGAATGGTCTGGGTTGGAAGGGACCTTAAAGATCAATGGGAGCTCGAGTATTAAACAGGGCAGCAGAGATCTGGTTATAAGCAAGATAAAAGGAGGGATTAACTTTTTATTATTATTATTTTCCATATCCTGGTGCTTCTTTAACTTGTAAAGGAGAGATTGGACCCCTCTTTCCACGCCCATGTTTTGCTCAGAGCCTTTACCCAGTAGAGACACCGTGGCTGGTTCAGGTTGTGTTGCTGAGAGACAGAAATATCCAATTTGTAGCTCCTTGAGAGTCTAACCATCCCAAACTGGCTGTGTTTGGCCAGCTCTGCACGTACCACTAAGGAGACAGGTTTCCTAACCTGGGGCACTTATCTTTCTCTGGGTGTTGGAAAGAACATGGATTTTATGTTGACAAAAACCCCTCTACAGATGTTTCTTTTTTTTCTTGTAGGAACGAACCTAACCTTGTGCTGTGGATGATTAAACAGACATCCTACAAAGCCAACAGATGTAGGATGGACCATGACACCTCAAGGGCAGCATCAAGAACTGGAATCATAGAAGATCCTAGAATCATTGAATCATGTCATAAAAGGCTTTTTTTCCCCTCATTTACTTAGGAATAACAACCTCATTTTGAAGACTATGCAATTAATACTAAAAAAAAAATATATATATATATATATAAATATCAAGAATTCGATGCAATATTTAATGACTGCATTACAGAGCAGTGAAAAAACTGAAGGTGGCAAGATACAGTGGAAAAAATAGTATATTATATTGTAATAAAAGATGATGTCAAAGAGCAAAAAAACATGTGATGTGATTTAAAATCCCATGAGTAACTTTGCAAGCTAAGGAATGCTTGAATTGAGTGTTTCTGTGCAAGCAGCTGCTCTTTCCATACACATTCTCTATTTTTAGCACAATACATAAATCAATGTCACAACAGAAAGATAAAATGATGCACACTTGAAGTAAAACATGAAATTACCTCTTTATGGGCTATCTGCTTCTTAGGTGCTATTTAGAAAGCACAAAATAAAACAGAACAGCTGTTTTGGAGCTGCCTAAAACACAGGAATGGAGGAGGCAAATTTCACAGGGATGCATCTGCACTCTCAGTTGGTTAAGTCTGAGCATCACCTCATGATTGTCATGAAAATCACATGCCTTGTGCTGCCATGAAAATGTACAATTCCTCTTCCTTGGACAATAGAGGCCAAACCTACTTGAATATTTTATTCCCATTCTGCAGAGAGATCAGAAAATACTTTGCCTTCACCTGAAGTCCAGAGAGAGGGACAGTTCTGATTTTCCCCACAATCTGGACATCGTCCATACCTTGGAAACTAATATTGGATAACTCAAATGTGAGTTTTAATGTATTGTCTGAATCTCTGGGAATTCTAATGGTGTTAGGGACAAACAGATAAGAATCATCATCTCATGAATGGAAATGCCCACATCTTTATATTCACTTAATCTCTTGGAATCTACATCTGAACACAAGTAATAAGTAAATAAAACTTATTTTTCACGACAAACTTTGCAAAAAATGCCTGGGCTAATGTAACATCACCTAGACAGGCTTTTTCTGCAAATGAAGCTTTATTTCTCTGCTTTCTGTCCATTTTATCCACTAAAAACAGCCAAGATGAGATTGTTGGCATCCTATGGATTAGTGGATTTTATTCTACATGCACCCAATTTTCTTCTAGAATGCACCCAAATATTGAGGGTAAATCATTCTACAACACCAAAAAAACAGCACCAAAACCTGCTGCAGGGCACCATTAATGGAATATCTTAGAACAAACTTTCTTAACACAAAGAAAACAAAAGTCACCCATGTCTGCAGTTCTACTCTAAGTGTTTTGGGAAACATTAATGTACTGATTGTGCTGCCCATAATTCACATCTTTTTGATGCTGTTAGAAATAAATGGACTCTGTAAGAAGTTTTAGGCCTTAGGAAAAATATTGTCAGCCTTTGGAGGCTTAGGAAAGTTATTTTTTACAGAACATTATAAGATATTTAAATATAGAGAAAAATCGCTTGATGAGACCTGTTTCTTTCTTCACTCTAAGAAATGTATATATTTTTCCCATTATAGCAAATTCAAGGTTTTGTAGCATCAATTTCAAATAAATAATAATAATAAAAAAGAAATCCAGTACCCAGGCAGTAAAACCAAATGAGAACATGCTGTTATTTTCAAAATTCTTCTCGTTATAAATCGATGCCAATTAAACCTCGATATACGTGTTAATCTCAGAAACAAGGAACAATTATTTCACCACTGCTCGCTGCTGCGTGTGCACATTTCTCCCCTCTGAAGTTAATTTGTAATTCTTGTGAAGTTTAGAGCAGTTTGGATGGAAGGTGCAGAGGTAGCTTTGCACATTTTTGTAAATACCTTTTTTTTTTTTTCCCCTCCAGGTGCAACATCTGTTGCTAAGCTCTAACCACGTACCTATTTTTCAGGTAATGTTTTCTCATCCGTGGCAAGGCTTAATTTGCTCTCACGTTTCAGTTGTCTCCTATTATTTAAAACATCAGGCGATTGACTCGTTAATTTGGCAGGTAACAGCTCGGCCTCCCTACCCCTTTGTGAATGCAAAGTCTGCACATTTCTTCTTGAAAACGGCCTAATCTCACCCAAACTTCTCACGGGGAGAAGTCGGGCTGCTCCTTCTGCTCTCGAACAAATAAAGAAATCAAGCAATAGGACCTCACAACGCGATCATTAGCACTTAATAGCCTTAAAACGCATTTCGGAACGTAAAAGCCTGCTCTGTAACGAATAACAAAGGAAGGGTAATGAAAGTACAAGCGAGGAAGGAGTTCCCAGAGACAGTTGGTATCTACAGCAGAGATCTACTCGATTCAGTAGCTAATTGCTAATTCGATGTCTAATTGCTCAGCATCACATTCAAATGGCTTCTCGCGAGGGCTCCCGAACGGCGCAGTTGCGCTAAATGTTAATTATTCCAGATGCCATCTGGAATATCGAGCAGAGCAAGGAGCAGCCTCCCCACCCACCTGCGGAACGTCCCGCTGCT